CTAACTGTAAGTGTGTAATTTGTGTGTAATTTAGTTATTATTATTAGATACTGTAGTATATGTGTAATTAGTATAGCTATATACGGCCTATTGGAAGATCACCCGTCTTAATTTTTGTAAATATCTTGGTGAAATAGTACGTTTTTAATAAAGTCAATAAAGGCAATAAAGTCAACACCCGATGGCTTTCAGCCCGACTGATTATGCCCGATCTAATTGTTTAACGCCCGATTGAATTGTTTAAAGCCCGATTGAATTGTGTAACACCCGATTGAATTGTTTAAAGCCCGATTGAATTGTTTAAAGCCCGATTGAATTGTTTAAAGCCCGATTGAATTGTTTAAAGCCCGATTGAATTGTTTAAAGCCCGATTGAATCGCTTAAAGCCCGATTGAATTGTTTAAAGCCCGATTGAATTGTTTAAAGCCCGATTGAATTGTTTAATACCCAATGGCTTTCAGCCCGCATTAATTAAACACTGTCCGATCCAATTGCATTTTTGTCCCTATCCACACCTCATACAGACGTCTTGGCTGTTTGACCATTATGCGTAATGACAGAGTCGACTCCTAAGCGATGATGTAATACTGCTTTATGATAGCTCCAGAACAGTTTTGGATTTTCACAGAAAGAGGTAATCACGATGTTTATGTCTGACAAGGATTTTGATGTCATTACTTAGAGATCTAAGTTTACGTTTGCGTTGTTCAGTTCTATTTTCGCGGTATTTTTTGAGAGCTCGATATTTCTTGCGCAGGAGGTGCCTGCATGATTTCTCCATCAATCCATGGAGGAGAGTTTGTGTCTTTTATAACTTTAACAGGCACACATTTTTCTACGGCAGCTAAAAATAATGCTTTCCACCGAAACCAGTAGAGATCGACATCATCAGAGACGGACATGTCTAATGCGTTAAGCTGCAGACGGTTACGAAGGGCCTCGAAATCTGCTCTCTTGTAGTTGTACGCTTTACGTTGCATACGCTTTGCTCGCTTGAACTTCAGCCGTATAAAGAAATCTACTAGGTAGTGATCAGATGGGAAATTACTTTCCATTGGAGTAGAAGTGGAGACGTGGTCGATAACTTCCGGACAGTTGGAGAGAAGCAAGTCGAGTTTGTTTCCTGCTATGTGAGTAGGGCCTTTAATGAATTGAGTGAGGAAGTTATCTTTTGTTAGGACGCAGAATTCATTGTCCTCCTGAGACCCGCCGATGTTAGTAGGGGCGGATTCATCAGGTGACCAAGTTAGAGAGGGAAGGTTAAAGCCACCAACAACTACGACACACGCTGATTCAGGAGTTCCTTGTAGAGACAAATTAAGCTTGTGCAAGTCTTCTGGTCCAGGTTCGGGATGGTAAATAGTATAGAAAATAACTGACTTATGTTATTTTACAAACTTTGCTGGAAGGGTTTTCTACAAGGGGAACGAAAGCTTTAATACTTCGTGCGTTCATATAGAGGACATTTAAACCGCCGGGGTGGGTAGGTGAGTTGTTATTAACGTGAG